TGAGACTCATAACTTAAATTAATGTCGGTCTATAATGTGTTAATGATAGGACACGTGTGAAAAAATGGCTCAAAATTGAATTTAAGTCATGACGTGCTCTTAAGTGAATACTTTCAAAGGTAAAGGTAACTTTTTAGCGACTAGGGATCCAATATGAATGTGATCAAGATTCAAAATAGAAAAAAAAAAAATCTAATATAGCAAAGAGACGAAGGTAATGTGGACGTAAATGTGGCACTCCAGCAAGCATATAATGATAAGATAATGATCAATGTGGTCAAATCCCAACGACAAGATTGCATTATACCAAATTAAAAAAATGTTGGAACGATATTGCGCCAAAAAACTTGAGGATAAATATGCACTTGTATTGAAACTTTAAGTAAAGTTATCAATTAAAGTAAGCCCTTAAAAAATTATAACTTACACAGCTTAACCTTATTAAGTTTAATTATATTTCAAGACTTTAGCTCTTAGGGCTGAAGGGCCAACCCTTAGGGTCTTAGTTCTATTTTTTTTTCATTTTTTAATTTAAAAGTTTAAAAAATCATATTTAAAATCTCAAAAAATTATTACATATAACATTAAGTTTAGAAAAATAAATTAAGTTAATACACACAATAATAAATTTAAGTCTAATAAAAAATATAATATTATAAATCAACACTAATAACAATTAGATTTTACTAGTATCATTAGCTAAATCTTAATAATTTCATTGTCTTCAACATCAATATAATTTTATCATTCTTCTTGTGGAATCTCTCAATGGAAAATATATTAAGTTTTTTATATATTATTTCTTTACCTTCATGAAATGAGGCTAGGGTTTTAAAATTGTAGTAGTATTTAATTTTTTTAATATTAAAATTTTAAAAAAATTCTACAAAGGCTGGCCCTTTTATTTCTTTTATTAAAATTTTAATATTATTTTTTTTAAAGCTCTTTTAAGCTCAATTTATTATTTTATACTTTAAACTAACAACCCGACCTTGAATTTTTTCAAACTCAAAATCGACGGCTCTAACTTTGAGAGTAGATTGTATGGTAACCCTTATAACTATATTATATACCAAAACTACTCATATTTATAATTTACACTTCCCATATTTTACACTCACCATGGCCAAAAATTAATTAACCGTGTTACAATTAGAAACATCTACTCCTTCCATTTAAAAATGTAAGGCATTTTTAACTGAATTTTATTCCCAATAAAATAGTTATCTACTTTTCAACTAACTCTATTTTTTATATTTATCTCTATTAAACACCCTATAATAAATATAAAGTTATTATTAGTAGGGACACTTTTGAAAAAAAAAGACAATAATTATACTTCAAAAGATTAAAAATACTTTACATTTTTAACATTCAATTTTTTAAAAAATGTCTTATATTTTTGAATGAAGGGAGTATTATTTACACAATTCGAGAAACATCTATTATTTATAACTAAACTAAATACATTCACTAACCACATCAATTATTTAACACTTATTATTCCAGTTATGATGGACTTAATAGACTAGACAAAACCCTCACATTTTTATGTTTAAAAAAAATTACATGAATTAGTATAGAGACACCAAAATAATGACAGGTTTCCGTTATTCCGTATTTAAAAACGCTAATAGAAGTGTTCGTAAATTGCCTGCCGACAATATCATTATATTGAGGGTGGAATTTGCACCCCCCACCTTATAAGTTACTCGCTCCATACCATAATATGAGTCATTCTCTAAAAATTTTGCTTTGATTTAAAATATAGACATTGAATAAGTGTTATATATATATATATATATATATATATATATATTTCAATTACACCTTTACTTTATTAAATAATTAATTATGATATTTTGAATAAATCAAATGTTATACTTATTATAGGGCACAATTGAAAAAGATAAAAAATTTAAAAAAAAGATTTTAACTAATATTTTTAAGAAATGTAAATTAATTAACTATTTAACTTATATTACGGTGAAAGAATAGGCATATCATTTATTACCATCTAACTTAATTTTTGTTGACAAAACCCTCACCTTCAAACTTACTCCATTTTATTATTTATAAGCCACTTTTAATATATTTTATCAAAATTAAAAAAAATCTTATACCTCACTAATTTTGTCTTAAAATTTAACAAATTTTTATCTTTATTTTTAAATCTTTTTACTGATATTTTTATTTAAAATATTTAATAAAAATAAAAATATAAAAAAGAGTGTCAGGGATTAACAAGTGTTTTATAAATAAAATTAAATTTTATTTTTTTTTGTTTTGTAAATAAAATTAAAGGAGTGCACGCTCATACACAAGTTTACTTTCTGAACTGGACACCTCTCAACCATAGCCACGGCCACTCGAGTTGTAATTAATATACAACAAACTCTTTCTAGAATATGATGTAATTTTTTTTAAAAAATCAATATAGTGTAAATTTTGTTAACTAGCTTAGATTTCTAAAAAAGTTAATTAACAATTAATATATTGATTTTTTTAAAAAAATTGTATCTTTTTAAATGTACCCATAAATATAATATTTGAGTTATTTAAAAACACCCTAAACTATTAATTAATTGAGTTAAATATAATCAAATAAAAGTATAATTAAAAATATACATTTTTATACTAATACTATACTCCTTTTGTTTAAAAATATAAGATATTTTTTAAAAAGTTAAATATTAAAAAATATAAAATATTTTTAATTTTTTAATGTATTAATTATCATTTTTTTTATAAATGTCACTATTGAATAAATTACTTTACATTTTTTTAAGATAAAACACTTTATTATATAAAGATAAATATTAAAATATAATATTAATTTAAAAATAAATAATTATTTTATTGAAGATAAAATTTAATTAAAAATATTTAATATTTTTATATGAAGGAAATTTTTTTTAATCAAATAAAATTTTTAAAAAATATTCTGTATGATAATCCTCTGATTTCTAAATACAATGGACTTTCTCTCAGCAGTGGCAGCTGTCATCATATATACATGCAGGTACGGACGTGTCAGCCTCCAAAATTGATGAAGCGATCCTTATCTGTGACGTGGGCGATTAACAATTCTGCGAAGACGAAGACAAAAGCAACAAGGCCCTCCTCGCTTTCTGTTTCTGTCATTCCCCATACCCTCACTTCGTCATTTTCCTCCTTCACGCCCCACAACCCGATGTGATAACATCCACATATAACATATATACACTCCTTTCGTTTTCATCAATATTTTAAAAGCCGAATTGGATGGACGTTGAATTGTAAAAGTTAGCGACTTTTAATTTTTATAATTTAATTAATTAGACTAACAATAAAACAGATAATATAATAATTAAATAAAAATAATATTAAATATATGTAAAACAAGTATTAGAAACAGACTTATAGTATGCTTAATTGTTAATAAAATAATATAAAATAATTTTAAATTAATAATATTATAAATTATAATTTTATAATTTTTTAAATATAGGTAGGTTTTAGTTAAATTAGATATAAATAGTCTAAAAAAATTCTGCATTTATATTTATAACATCAATATTTTTGTAAAAAATAATCTCAAATTATATTTTATATATATGACTTGTCCAAAGGCAGAGTTGGCTTTTAATTTAATAGGAATCTGATTTTGAATTTTTCTATTTTTTTTAAATTGTAAGGTTTTTGAATGTATATTAAAATCATTCAATTTTTTAAAAAATAGCTCTAATTTCTAGCTTATAGCGGTTAAATTTTGGTTTAATATGATTCAATCATAAAAATAATCTTTTGATCCAAATCAAATGGTTAACAACTTTGGTTGACAATTCAATTAATCCAACATTTTATTTGATCAACTTTTTAAAATAATGGTTTCTATATAACGTGTTTTTAATAAAAAGAATCTTGTATATCAATAAAATTTTATTATTTAGTTGAAACCATATTAAATTATAATAATTTTAATTTTACTCTTAATAATATTAATTAATATCATAATGATGGTGAGTAAAAAACACAGTTAATATTAATTAATATATCTTTCCTTTTTTAAAATAAAAAAATTATTTAATTATTTAAAAATATTATGATATTTTTGAAAAACACCCGATAAAAAATGTACAGTGTGTGTGTGTATATAACAGCAAGCCGCCCCCAATAATTCCCATCCCAAACTCTACGCGGTATATGGGGTAGGCTTCTAATGTATCTTTTTCGTAATATTTTTTTTTTTGTAATGTCATGTTTTTCTAATTTTGATAATCATTTTTTTTGGATCATCAGTCTCTAAATAAAATAAAATATATTTTAGAAATTTTCAAAGATAAGAGCAGTGATGAACGCAAAGCACCAGTGGAGACATAAACTAAAAATAATAGAAATAATTATTTAATATATATAAAGTAAATATTTAGTTTTATAAAATAATATTATAAAAAAATTAAAATGATATTTTTATAGAAATAATATAATTTTAAATACATAAGTTCAAAATTTAAAATCTATTGCACTTAAGTGAAATATAAAAGACTCAATTTTTTTTAAAACTCAAATATATTTTAATTTGAATATAATAGATTCAAAGTTATTAGAACAATGCGGCAATTTTAAAAAGTTCCACCTATTCTTGATAATTTTTTCTCAAGTTGAGCGGACGCACTTGCTGATCACCATTGATCTGTAAGTGCATCCACCACAAGATAAGAGTGTGTGATTTTGATATTTTTTGAAAAAATTATAAAAAATATAAAATTATACCATTTTAAGATTTTAAGATATTAAAATATTTTTATATTTTATATAAAAACTAATAATTTAAAAGAAAAATGAAAATTGAAGTTAGAAAAGCGGGGCATTTAAAAAAATATTCTCTGAAAATAAGAAGCCCCTATCTCGTCGTTTACCACTCACTATTTCCCATATGCGGCACGCCGTTTCCGTCATCCTCCCTATATATATGCTCCTCATCCTCACTGATTTTCCACCAAGATAACTAACACATTCATTCTCAAACCTTTCTTCTTCAACATGGTGTTCATGCTAAACTCACCCGCCGTGACATTGATGATCATTTTCGTCACCGTGCTTTCAGTTCTCCTCATCCCAGCGTCGTACGGATCCGGAGGCGGCCGGAGAGTTCATAAGGTGGGGGCGAAGATGGACATGGGAGACGTGAGGAGGAACAAGGAAGTGCAGGAGCTCGGAAGGTTCTCGGTGGAAGAGTATAACAAGAGAATTCGAGTAGTGTTACAAAACGACGCCGTTTTGTCTGACGGTGCTGGCAACAACGGAGCCGCCGCCGGAGGAGAGAAGGTGGAGTTCATGAAGGTGATGGAGGCGCAGAAGCAAGTGGTGGTGGGGACGAAGTACTACCTGAAGATATGGGCGGAGCAGAATGGACGTTACAGAGAGTTTGATTCAGTGGTGGAAGAGAAGCCATGGCTGAGTCAGAATTCTAAGCAGTTAATTAGCTTTGCTCCTTCTCATCAACGCAAGAGAGATCAGAAAGATGGTGCAGAAAGATGGTGGTGATGATGATGATGAATCGGTGTTGAATAAGAAGGTCATCTCAAGTGTGTAGTAGGACTCAAAAGTCACGTTCTATATATATCTGACTTCGTCGGATAAGATGGTGTTCGATTATTCTCTAATGTAGTTTTGCTGCTTCTTCACTGTGTTTTTTTCCTCTCATGGCCAAATTTGTACCGCGGGATCTGTAATTGAATGAGTTTTATTTTTTTCCAAATAAAAGTTTTTTGCTCTATTTATGTTTTCTTTTGTGGCCAAAGCTCTGCACGTTCTTTATGTTACATCCGTGTGTGAAAGAGAAAAAGTACTTCAATTCGATAGAAAGAGATAATAGGTTTTAAGGCAATCAATTTGTGAAGTGAGTCCTGAAATTGCTTAAGTTTAACACTTTAAGTATAAGAAATTTATAAAAATATAAAATATTTTTTAAAAATCTTGTTTAGTCTAAAATATAAAATATTGAATAATTTTTATATTTATTTTTTTAAATATACTTCTACTTTATTTATTATTCTTTTTGAAAGTAATCATGCAATGTGTTAATTTTAATTACTTTATTAATACTCTTATATAAAGTATTTAATGAGAATATAAATAAAAAATGTGAATATTTTTAAAAATTTAAAGTTTTAATTAATATTATTTATAAGTGGTGAATTAATTGATTATAGTTGAAATGGAGAATGTATATGTGATGGATCTATACCAGTGTCTCAATGGGAGAAGAATTTTTCGGTGAGACAAAAATAATATATATCAATAACAAAATTTAATTTAACCAAGGTAAAATGTAAATTTTAATGGTGTAAAAGGCCATTTATGTAGTAGTACGCACATACTAAAAATATGTGTATAAAATCATTTTTTTTTTGCCACCATTCCACCAAAAAAATAATAAAGATTAAAGTATATTTTTAATCCTTTAATTTTATATAAAATTTAATTTAATTATTTAATTTTGTAAAATATTTTTTTAATCTTCTAACCCCTAATTTTAAATAATTATTTTTATATCAATCATTATTATTTAAAAAAAATTAAACTTAATATATCAATATTTTAAAATATTTTATTAATATTTAAAAGTTTAATGTAAAAATTTATTGAGATAAAATTAATAATGTAAAGGTTAAAAAATTAAAAAAAATACTTTATAAAATTAAGGAAGTAAAATAAAAAATTATATAAAATTAAAAAAAATTAAATATATATTTTAACCAAATAATAAATGTCAACAACATAAACACCAGCACCGAAAAGGAAAAGAGAACAACAACCACAAAAGCACAAAGCCAAATGAGCAAAAGAAAGGTCAAGGAAACAAACAACACAACAGCAACAATAAGAAACACAATCAGCCCATACTTAATCCAGCGTCCAGTGGATCAGGAACACCAACATCCCTTTCAGCCTCCACAGCATCCAATGTTAGAATAGAAGATAAAAGAAGTGATGGTGTATTCACCCACCCAAAAGGGTACACATCCTTACAAGCACCAACAGCTCGATGATCCGCTGTCTTGTTACCTTCACGTCGAGTGAAATTAATAGTGAACCTAACATTGGAAGCCTTGAAATCAAGGATGTCTTGAATAATTCCTCGACAGCACCATTCACATAGATCAAGTCTGGCCTTTCTTCACACAACGAGACAAGTGTAGCACAAACACTTTCAAAAATGAATTTTTTGATTACCCGAGTCAAAGGCCAGCATCAATGCCAGTGCCTCAGTCATGAAGGCAGAGAGAGATTTTATTTTTTCCACAAACCCCCAATTGAATTCCCCATTTTTATCTCTACAAACAATTCCAAGAGCTGCTGCACTATCTTTCTTATGATATGCACCATCACAAATGATCTTCAAGCAGACAACTAAGGGTAATATCCATTTTTGTTGCTGCATTATCATCACAAGCATCCTCGTTGATCTGATCCAGAGCACAAACTCTCCAAAATTCTCCTACTGCACTGTTAGCCTTCAATATTACAGCAATTGGGAGAAAGAAGCATGGACACTCCCAAAATGCTGCCGTGTCCGGGTCGGACACGTATCCGACATGGATACACGTTCAGGACGCGAATGAGGCGTGTCTGCTTTTTTATCTTTTGTCGGACACGGGCGGGTTCGGGTAGACACGGGTTGGACACGGCCCTCTGCGTTTTTGCTGGCTTTTTTCCCCCCAAAATTAGAAGCCCTATTTGCTTCATTCATCCAGTCGATCCTTTTGATAAGAAATAGATGAGCCTAAACTCTAGACTCATTTACAGTACAAGTGCTATCCATGCAACGTCTAAGACTCTCCGTGGGAAAGCTAAGAATGTGCAACCCAGGCCACGCATCAAGAGCTTGTTTCGCCAAATGATCTGCAGCAACATTTGCATCACGAGAAATTTGACAAATTCTAATCTCCCATGCTCGGTGGATCATGCTTTGAATTTCCATAATTATATGACAGTCAGGATGTATAGAATAGTTGGTAACCTCTGTCAATGATATGGCTTCTGCTGAATCAGACTCCACCACGATTTTCCTAACTCCAGCATCCCAAGCAATCTTTAAGCCTATTAAAATAGCCCACAGCTCTGCTGATAAGTGGTCACCTTCATCTAAATGTAAGCTAAACCCTGTGATAAATTGCCCAGCCGAGTTCCTCAGCAGACCGCCACACCCACGAGTCTGTTGCGTCATCGAGAAAGCACCATCAACACAGAGTGACACCCAACTTGTCTCTGGAGGTTTCCATCGTAGGTCACAGTTCTGAATCCCATTTCCGTGCCAATTAATGGAACTTGTCTTTGTTTGAACCCTCTCCAAACAACTCATCATGCCCTTCGCCTGGGCAATAATACATTCATTGAAGCGACTTTTCCCCTCAAATATCCGTTCATTCCTTCTTTTCCAGATATTCCAGCATAGAACCATGAATAATCCATTATTCATTTAAAACTCTGGTTTTTTACCCTATTTCAAGTTCCAGCTAATCCAATCATCTATTGTTCGCAGATTAAAGAAGTCGAAGTCGATCCTTTTCCCTTTCATCTAATTTCTACAAAATCTGTCGCGTGTGACTGTGTGAGCATCTCTCTGTCTTCCGACCCACGGCCGCCGTCGCATCATCTTTCCAGCGCCTCCTCAGTCACGATTTCAGCGTCTTTCCGACCTCACCTCTGTATTCCGTCACTTCTTCTCCGGCCTCCTCATATCAGAAATGGGTTTCGTCGCTCTATTTCTCCGAGGTAAGTTTCCGGCGCTTCTTCTCTAGTCAGTTCTTCCATTCTGTAACTGCCCACCTCTGGTCACATCTTCCATTCTGTCGCTATCTTCGGGCATATAGTCGTGCTTTAAACACTGAAATTTTGCTGCTAAAGTTGTTATAAGTGAAAAAATTAATAATGAAAAGTGGCTTAAATTAATTCTGAAAAACAGATATAGAAAAATATTGCAATTTGGCTATTAATATTTTCATAATCACACAAGTTAGTCTCACTGCAGTAATATTTTTTTTTCATTTTCTTTTAACTTTACTGGTGATGTTATTGTTAATCCTACAATTTATGTTATGGTGTTATGGATTTTGCATTTAGATAATATAAATTTTTTATATTTTTTTAATTTTAACATTTGCTTAACCGTTTATTGTATTAAAATATATATGTATCTAAATATTTAATTATTTATATAATTGTATCCGTATTTTAAAATTTTTAAAAATTATTGTGTCCGTATATCATATTGTATCGTATTCGATAGTTATACTTATATCGGTGCTTCATGTGAGTCAGGAGCTGCATGATTAAACCACAGTATACGACATATATGAGCGATGTCATATTCTGTGAAGTGACTTCTAGAACCAGTGATAACATTCCGCCAATTCTTGAAGCTTGTAATTCTACGCGGATCAATTCTCATAGGAAAAACACTGCCAAGCCATACATACTGAACCCAAGGGCATAAAAATAATCAATGTTCCAGTGTCCCTATCTCATTTCACAGACTGGGCAAAGATCAGTATTCCATCTTCTTCTCTTTATAAGCTCCTCATTAATAGCCACTGCATTAGCTAAATACCTCCATGCAAGATTTTTAATGCGTGGCACCATACTAATGCTCCATAAATTTTTCCAGTCAGTAGTTATTGCTACAGATGAGCTAGCTGTATGAACTAGGAAGCACGGATACGCCAATTTTGGTGCCGTATCCGTGTCGGATACGCACTGGACACGGATACTCGCTCCGTGTGAGTACGTCCGTGTCCGATACGTTTTTTGTTTGGGCGACACGGCACGACACGGCAAGACACGACGTTGACACGGTTGACATGGCTTCGACGCTGGACGCTGCATTTTGCATAAAAAAATTGCCTAAATAAGCAGATCGAACCTCACTCACTTCTGATTCTGACTTCTCTCCCAACTCGCAAAATCAGTCGGCCGTCATTCTCTTACACTCAGTTCGCGAAATCAGATCGAACCTTCCCAGATCGCGCCGTTGTTCTCCTCCGCGAACCTTTGGAACAAGCTGCCGACCTGCCGTGCGCCTGGTTCTTTCTTGCTCCTGCGCATTCTTGGTTGCTTAGCTCACCGGCGTCGGTCTTTCGTCCGTTCACTGGTTTACACTTCTCTCTCTCTCTCTCTCTCTCGTGTCTCTCAACTCTCAACTCTGTCTCTCACGCTGTCACGAGCCCGAAACTGAAAAATGAATAGATTTTTTATTTTAGTTTTGATTCATCTTAAAGACTTAAACTTTGCTTCAACTCTCATGTCCAGTTTTTTTTTCTTTTGACCGAAGCTCATACTCTACCCTCTTCTCTAAATTTAATTCTTATTTATTAATTTAACATATTAGATTGCAATGTTCATGTGTAGAATTTATATTTAATGCCTGCTTGCTTTTTATTTTTATGTTACATGTTATTTTGCTCAAATCTCAATCTGCATTTCAATGCTTTTAGTCATATTTAATTTTAGTTTATCTCAATTTTTTTTAATTAGCTATGGCTACAGCAAATAGTTCTGGGGGAAGTATTAATTCAGCAGCCCGTTTTTCTTCTATAAATGAGCTACAAAAAGATGGAACTCCCTTATGGTGCTATGTCACTTTGGTGAATAAAAATAGAGACATACCAGGAGGTGGAAATAGATATTGGAGGTGCAATTATTGTAACAAAGAATTCAATGGCTCTTATTCTAGAGTTAAGTGGCACTTGTTAAAAACTTCTGGCAAGGGAATTGCTATATGCTCGAAAGTTGATGAGTATTGCCTAGCTGAGATGAGAAAATTACAAGAAGATGCTAATGATAAAACCAAGTCAAAGCAAGTGCCATTACCACCCTCGGCTGAAGGTTCATATCCCTTATATCCTATGACAAGTGAAAGCAACCAAAGCAAGAGAAGGGCAGTAAGTCCATTAGAAAAGGCCTTCCAACAAGGGGCAAGAGAAAATCTACATGCTGAAATTGTAAGAATGTTTTATACAGGTGGTCTATCTTTTCATTTGTCACGCAATCCATATTTCATTAGTTCATATCAATATGCTGCGAACAACATCATTCCTGGATACAAACCTCCTGGTTATAATGCATTAAGGGGTCCATTGTTGCAAAGAGAAAGAGCTCACACAGAGAAGTTACTTGAACCAATTAAAGGAACTTGGAGTTTGAAAGGAGTGAGCATAGTCACAGATGGTTGGACAGATGCTCAAAGGAGGCCTCTGATTAATTTTATGGTTGTGTCTGATGGGGATCCCATGTTTTTGAAGGCAGTTGATGGATCCAAAGAATATAAAGACAGACATTATATGGCTGACTTGATGCGTCAAGTGATTGAAGAGGTCAAGCCTCAAAATGTGGTTCAAATAATCACTGACAATGCATCTGTTTGCAAATCAGCAGGTAGGCTTATAGAGGCTGAGTATCCCACTATTTTCTGGACGTCATGTGTTGTGCATACGCTTAATCTTGCATTAAAGAACATATGTGCAGCAAAGAACACAGAGGCAAATGAGATTGTGTATGATGAATGCCATTGGATAGAGGAGGTTAAGGATGATGCTGCTTTTATTAGAACATTTATCATGTGTCATTCTATGCGATTGGCAATTTTTAATGAATTTGTGCCATTAAAATTACTTGCCATAGCTGATACTCGCTTTGCATCCACCATTGTTATGCTCAAAAGACTCAAGCTCATTAAAACTTCACTTCGTACAATGGTGATGAGTGAAGCATGGAATGCTTATAAGGAAGATGATGTTGGAAAGGCAGCCACAGTGAAAAATTTGATCCTTAATGACTCTTGGTGGGATAAGGTGGATTATATACTTTCTTTCACTGGACCGATTTATGACATGCTTCGGATGGCTGACACAAATAAGCCTATACTTCATTTAATTTATGAAATGTGGGATTCAATGATAGAACAAGTGAAGGAGTCCATCTACAAGCATGAGAATAAGGAGCTTTCTGAGTATTCAGCTTTCTTTGATGTTGTTTATAGGATCATTATTGATCGATGGACAAAAAGTTGCACTCCCCTTCATTATCTTGCACATTCATTGAATCCTAGGTTAGTTATATTACTATTGCAATATTTTTCATTCATGAATTATTTAGTTTTGTTCTTAATCCTTTTTGTTTGCAAATGTTATAGGTATTATACACCCCAATGACTTGAAGGTGCTCCCAATAGAATTCCGCCTCATTTAGATAATGAAATATCATCTGAGAGAGTAAAGTGCCTTTATAGGGACTTTATTGATCCTGAGGAGAGAAAGGCAGTCTTTCAAGAGTTCCCAAAATTTGTTGAAAGTTTAGACTTCTATTCATCATTTGATTGCTTGCAAGATAGGTGGAATTTAGAACCTAAAGGGTGGTGGTTAAATTATGGTTCTTTCACCCCTATTCTTCAGAGGCTTGCATTGAAACTTCTAGGCCAACCGTGCTCTTCCTCTTATTGTGAAAGAAATTGGAGCACTTACTCCTTTATCTACTCATTGAAGAGAAACAAGATCACTCCTAAAAGAGCTGAAGACTTAGTTTTTGTGCATACTAATCTTCGTCTCTTGTCAAGGAAGAGTGGAAAGTATCGCATTGGGCAAAGTAGAATGTGGGATATTGGTGGAGACACTATGGAGCCATTTGATGCTATCAATAGCCTTGAGATGGCAAGTTTGTCACTTGATGAACCCATTTTAGAGCAAGAAATTATAGGAGAGCCTAGTAATGTAATGGAAAATGAGGATGATGAAATGTGATGTATTTGATAGTATTTTGTATTTTTTTGGATTGCTATACATTTTGATAGTTGACATATTACTTACATTTATATAAAAAAATATTATATATTGCCGTACCCGTATCTTAAAATTTTAAAAATTTGCCGTATCCCCGTATCATGTCGTATCGTATCCGATACTCGTACCCGTATCTGTGCAACCTAGGCTGTATCAGTCCTCTCTACCTCCTTCGAGTGTGCTCTGTTGTATCCAGCCTTGACGTTACATATACCATTTCTTGCAGGCACCAAAATCACTTTATCTTCTCCCTCTCTATCTCTCTCTACTTGATAGAGGTATTTGTTTAATGGCTTGGACAAATTCCTCTCTTATGAAACCGGTAATCTGAGAGAGATTCCATTGTCGATCTTCAATAGAGCAATCTACCACACTGTCTTTATTCAACTCAGGATCTTCACAAATAGGTAGGCTGTGACTCTTCAGAGGTGGGATCCACCTATCTTGCCAAACATTGACACTTCTACTATTGCCATTTTGCCAACAAAGGTATTTGTCCAAGAACAGTCTTCCATCCACAATTCTCGATCAGCACCAAGAGGCCTTATACCCCTTGGTAGCTGATAAGAAATCTGTTTTAGGAAAATATAATCCTTTAAGGACTCGTGCCCATAGAGCATTAGGATTTTGCAGAAGCCGCCAAGCGGTTTTGGCTAATAAAGCATCATTATGCACAACAAAATCTGTAACTCCTTCATGCTTATGCTTTGTCATTTTATTCCATGCAACCCAATGAGCTTTGCCACTGCCCTGAGAGCCATCCCACCAAGAATTAGAAATGAAGCTATTTAACTCCTTGCAGGTTTTAATGGGGAATTTGAAGCAAGTCATAATAAAGTTTGGGATCGTGTTAATTACAGATTTGATCATAGTCTCTCCGCCGGCATATGAAAGATGCTTGTGGCTCAAACCATGGACCTACTTGACCTTACCTTGAACAAA